TAAGTAAAATCGTAGCGGAGATTTCTACACACCGCAACCGAGATACGCATTTTTGCAGTTTCACCGTCGAATTTCTGTCTCAGTTTAGAAACAACGTAAGGATGATTAGCTTTTCTATGCACATCAGTGTTTTTACAGATGAGCCAGATTTTATAGTCCTGTGTTGCAAAATGTAGTTAAATTGCTCTTCCGATGATCTACATTGATGTGTGTGGGTAATTCCCTCTTTAGGCTGTCATTGCCTCTTACAGAAAAGTGACAAAAGCGGTACCTAGCCGAGTCAAAATGTGCAATTTCTGTTGGTTTATGGCTTACTTTCAGACCATTTATGTCTCTTCTCCGCCGTACGGGCGTGTTTTAATTTCCACGAGAGCCCTGATCTCCATATAACTCTATACTTTCCGCGGCTCATGCAAAAATAAAGATATGCTCTTACGCAAGAGGAGCGAACATTTTAAGAGGCCCCCTCCGGGGCTTACTTCCTGCCACTCGTATAAAAGCTCACGTCTTCTAAAAATGTAACTTTTATACCAGTTTTTATCATCAAACTTTAAGCTCTCTGACTTCCCAAAACGTCTTTTGTGAGTTACTTCTACAGACCTATGCCAACCGGTCCGATACACATGATTTATTGGCCAGAGATCGTCTCTAGAGATGCGCATAAGATCCCTCTATATTTAAGTTTTCCAATTATTATGACCTAGGTGTTTTACTGGCCCGAAGCGTTCTCCCTGAGACCAAAAGGCGCCTGTTGGGTTTTACGATATTTTAAAAGCTCTCCCTTCGACCCATTCATTTTCAACGAAGATTAAATTCCTCCTTTGACTCCTGAAAAGTACAAGGGAAACTATAAAAACTATTGAATGTTGGGCCGAAAAGTGTTTCAACATTTTCCACGCATCTGACTCCTTCTGAAGTGAAGAAACGTCTTGCGCCGCGATTACTGGCAGAAACCATTATTTCCGACCAATTCTTCGGTGAAAGTACCTAACAATAAACCACAAGAAAAGCAACTTAAACTGGACTGCATTTTGCAATTTGGAACTATAAATTCTGGCCCGGTTTAAAAACAACGCATGTGCTATTAGTTTCCCTATGCACATAAGTATTTTTTCATATGAGCCAAAAATTATAGTTCCAAATTGCAAAATGCAGTCCAACTGATGATCGGGGAAAGCAGCGGGACAAAACATTGAATCCTTCAAAACGCCCTGAACCATCCGCTAGCGTGAAAAAAAATTCACGAACATTCTGCCTTGCTGAGGAAAAACGCTGTAATAAACATTCGAGAGTTGCCAGATTTCCCTTGATGAAACATGTATTTTTGACAAAAGTTATGCATACTCCTTCTTGAAACTTTCAGATGATTTAGATTAAATTGCATACAAAGTAGTGTGAAAATTTTGGAAACAAATACTCACAATTTTCTCAGTTTTGGTTTCCATGGAAGGAAATATGGCAACGCCTGAAGGTTCTTACGGCGTTCTCCCTTAGCACGGCAGCATTCGCGTTCGTCCTCACCCCTTAAGATCCCCTGAAAACCCATCGAAAGCTTTCCTTCCCCGATCGCTTGAAATCAATACCTTCAGCCATTTTTTGAGTGGCTCCAAAAAGTACTAAATAAAACATCAACCTTCCAAACAAATCAGGCAAACAGCGACATTCACCGACATAAACGTGAACGAACATGAAATACCTGAAAACAGGATTTTCAAAGATATCAATTCGAAATTTTAAGCGGAAAATGTGGGTTAACATTCAGTATTCAGTGATATGAACATCACTCCTTGAAATGTAGATGGAAAACCCATCAAAACGTCTGAAATTTCAATCGTTAAAACCAGTACCTCCAACAATTTCTTAAACACATTCTGAAAACTAAAAAAAACAAACCCATCAATATGTCTGAAATTTCAACCACTGAACACTACCGGCAGAAATTCCTTTTATACCTTCTGAAACTTTAAAAAAACCCACTAAAACGTCTGAAATTTCAATTGCTGAAAACCACTATCTCCAGCAATTTCTCGAGTACTTTCTGACCATTAAAAAAACCCACCAAAGCGTCACAAATTTCAATCGCTAAAAAGCACCGTCTCCTGCACTTACCTTCTGAAAATAAAAAAAAAACCATCGAAACGTCTGAAATCTCAATCGTTAAAATTCTTCACCTCCAGCAATTCCTCGAGTACCTTCTGAAAGTAAACGTGGCAGATAAACGACAGAAAAAGCAGCCTACCGAAGTATCGGGTGGATCGGGGGGACGACACCAACACAAACGCAGAAAAACACGGGAAAACGTCGAAAAAAACAGAGGAGAAACTTACACTTAGAGAGCTGTATAGGCGTGAGCTGAGCGTCGGGAAAGCGAGCGAGGCGGCGCGGAACTACCCAGAATCGATGGGCTCGCGGAACTGGGGCAGGAGATAATACGGGGGCCGCAGGAGGAGGAAAAGCTCGGCCGGGGCCGGGAAAAGGGGGGGAGGGGGGAGGAGGGGCCGATCGACCGCTCTCGCGGGCCCTGCGCAATTCGGCCCCGCGGGCTCAACCTTTAGCCTACCCTGCGCGGCGCTGTGAGCGCTCCGCTGCCTCATCGATCGCAACGCGCGCCCGTCCGGGTCCTTTTTCCACTCGACGGGATGTGATGGAGCGGGGGAGAAGGGGGGGGGTCGGGACCTTCGAAATTGGCCCCCGCACCGAGGAAATTTCTATCGGAGCAGACTGGCTTCTGCGGACTGATTATTGATATCGATGGACAAAACTATAGACGAAGAAGACGTAGGGAGTATGGAGCAATCCTACTCCGCCGTGCTCGGGCAGAACGCCGTATCGACGGTGAAACTACCAAACCACGTATCTCGGTTTGCGACGTCGCAGACTTCCTGTCATACTTTATTTTTTAAATGAAAAACTACTCAACATCCAGTCTTGAAAATTTCTGTTTCAAGGAATGATATTGATTTGGTCTACTTCAAAAAAATAAAATGTGAGCGTAGATTTTTAAACACCGCAAACGAGATACGTGGTTTGGTAGTTTCACCGTCGGTATGAGCCTTCAGACGTTGCCAAGTTTCCTCCGATAAAGGCCAAATTAACTGAGAAAATGGCGAATATTATTTTCTAAAATTTTCAGACAATTTTGTACGCAATGCAATCTAAAACATTGACTGCATGACTATATTGTCAAATATATAGGTTTAATCAAGGAAAATTCGGCGACTCTTGAATGTTTGTACGGCGTTTTCCCTTAGCACGGCAGTATTGCCGCCTCGTGAGACGATGGCGTCTTCAGTGTTCCATCTTGGTTCCTGCACGGACCCCAGAGTGCTTCCCCTTCTAAAACGGGCTTCTGATGACCATGAAATGATCCCTGAAAGCGGCAATTTCCGATCAAAAAGTGCAGGGTTTTTGGCCATTATTGTATCGTACCCACCGTACTATATAGACAAAAGGAGAAAATGATAGACGAAAAGTCGGGTCTCTCGTGGGTTGCTGTTAGTTAGCCTATTACCTACCTCCTTTGTCCATTAAAACCACCCGCTTCCACTAATAGAATCTCTTCTTATCTCTTTTGTCTCCTTTGTCTATAGCTTTGTCTGTCAATTTCAATAATCGGCCCGCTGGGGTCCTTCGGAAAAAGTTAGGTGTATGTTCAATAGGTATTGTACTTTTTCTGAACCGTGGAACGACCCAGGCACAGATTGCGATAAATTGCAATTAAATTGGAAAAATCATTGGAATTTCATCGAGATGTTGTGTATGTTGCCTATCTACTGATCGAAGGAACGCACATAGAAATTTATTGTAATAAGTTGCAATTTTTCATCACATTGCATATTACCTATCTTTCTGACACAAAGAGCTTATTTCGTTGATTGTTTAAAATCGGCATTTTTGACCAAATGATATAACACTATTGTAATTTGAGGGTAAAAAAATTGAAATTTTATTGCAATAAATCGCAATTAATTCAATATTTCCGCTGCACTGTGCTGCTTGGGCTACTGGCAGGTTTCCGTAATTTTTTCTTTTTCTGATTCTGACTTACTTTGCTTATCCCTGACTCCAAACTTTTGAATTCTCGAATTTTCTCCGACTTCCGAACTTTAGATAGATTTTTCCCCTTTTAATTACTTTGACTTGTGCTAAACGCTGTTCGCGAAATTCCCTAACTATTCTGATGAATTCCTTCATCCCTGACTTTCTCCGACTTTCCCAAGTTGCCGTAAATTCCCTGAATCTCCGCATTCCGCCGATCGCCAGAAACTCTTCTTCTAGGTACATTTCTGCAGGTTCAGTCCCTGAAAAATTTAAGGAGGTAAAAACACGTAGCGTTGAAAATCAGACTGTTTTTATCTTGTCGTTCTCTCCCGCCTTAACGTTCCTACTTGTAATAAGAATTTAAACTGCCCTAAAAAAGTATGTTATGTTCTTTCCGACCATTACACATCAAAGGACTACGTGTAAAACGGGCCATTTGGGGCTCGGGGCGGATACCTTTGAGACTTGCCCTATTCATTCACCTAACAATGCCTCATCTTTTCCCAAAGTTTCAAGTCCCTCAAAAATTTTGGGGAGACGCGGCGGGGGGGTCAAAGTTCAAAACCGGCAACATTTTCGCGAATTTATTACTCGAAAACCAAGAAGTTTTCGAAAACGCGGTTTAAACGAGCGTATTTAGCGTGACGAGAGCTTTTAGAAAATGTATAACATCATAGGGTTTTGTCAACTTCAGCTCGAGTTATCGCCTCCAAGGTGCCGGAACGCTCAAAAGAGACCTCTTATTTTTTCACGTATGGGCCGATTTAAAAAAAAGCCATTTTTTTATTAATTTAATAATCGGGCATTTAGGTAATTACTGGTATTCTTCCGGGGAAAAATATTTTCAGTTGTTGGTCACACATATCCTCTGACTTTTAGCGGGAAGGTGAGAGGAACAGCAAAATTTCGAAGCATAAATGAAATAATCTGAATAAAAGAGAGAGGAAAAATATACATACCGGTAAACGAGGCGAAGACTCAAACGTGCACTGTGGCTTGAAGAAATAAATCACAGTTGTCATTCAGGTAGAGGTTTTAAAGAGCAGCAAAAAAGAAGATGAACGAGCAATATTCATCAGCATTGAAACTCATTGGTGGATGTGTGTTACATGTGATGGTAATGAATGGGAGTGTTGGATGGGAGTCCACGAGGAGCATGGAGCTGGGTTTCCTCTGACATCGCACTGCACTAATAACGATTTGTACCGAAACATTGTACTAAAACCCAAAACATCAAAAACCTCCCATTCACCAAAAGCACTTTCAGCATTGGAACCTGTTAGAGGAGAACTAAAGGAGGAAATTTTTTCGAAACACTATTTTTTCGTACATTCAAACACTAAACGAAAGTTCCAAGAGCTACAAGATCAAAACAGAAAAACTTAGACTGATATGGTCTATTAATATAAAAGCGCACTAACACTGATCATAATTAAAATTGACTATTTGCAACCCGCAACCACAGACTCTTCATAGTGCTGCACACAAGCATTGCTTTCATACATTCATTTGCTGTAAAAAAGAAAAGAAAAAAGGAGAGAAAAATATTCAGATAGAAAAGCATTACTGCCGTGCTAAGGAAACACGCCATATAAACATTCGAAAGTTGCCCAATTTCCCCGGATAAAACACGTATTTTCTTAGAAAGTTATTCATATTTTTCCTTAAAAATCTCAGACATTCTAGATGAAATTGCGAAGTAAATTGCCTAAAAAAATTAAAGAAAAATATTCAAAATTTTCACAGTAATGTCGGTTTTTGTTGAGGGAAATCTGGCAACGCCTAAAGGCTCATATGGTGTTTTTCCTCGGTACGGCAGATTAAGACAGGATACATTATTAAAGGTGACTGAAATAGTACAAAAAGACATTAAAAATTGTTTTGAAAATTCTTATGTATACAGGGGCAAGTACAAATCACATGCTTTATGAATCACCATGCGTACTGTAGGTCTGCGGAAATTCCCTGTTCTATGAGGTCCAAAACGGGAAAAAGAAAAGCCCAATCATATTTCGCTCTACATCAGCAATTTTTTACAGAGATATTATTTTTTTAAACTTTGTTACAGATTGCAGATTAAAAGAAAATTCTGAAAGAGTAATCAAAGAAATTTCAAAAGTGACATAAAGTCGAAATGTTAGGATCATAATAAGCTCTGAATTTAAGATGAACTAATGTCAACGAATCATTTCTAAAACAAAATATTCGGCTAGATGAGATCATACAGAGTAAATACAAATTTAGAAAATATTTTCTACATTAGTTCATCATGCCTCTGAAAAACGAGTCTTGGAAAAAGCTTTCATTCTTTTAATACTTCAATGTTCTTGAATCCTTCAAGGGTTGATGTTGATTGAAATAAGACAGAAAATTATAAATGTGAAGCGACAGTTGTTCCATTTAAATACAGTATAGATTGTCATTTTGTGGTGTTAATTTTCAATTTGACATAGTTTCTCGCTTTTTCTGGGTCCACTGGTTAATGCATTTAAAAAAAGGAAACAAAGAAAAAAAACTGTCATCGATGCTTTTCCATTTGGAATTTTTTAAAATGTGAATTTGCCTCAATGCATCCAAAAACAAGGTAGAGAAATGGTGCTGGGTCCACACCATTTCCGAGGAAAACGAAACCAAGAAATGTTTTAATTTTCGGAATTTCTTGGCTTTGTCTTCCCAGCAAAATGGTGTCGACCTAGCACCATTTCTCCACTTTGTTAGATACAGATCGGGCCATTTCTAAGTGTTTTTTCTTCTTTGTATCTAAGTAAGACCGAATCAAAAGAAAGAATTCTCGTCTTGCCCAAAAAATTCACTTACATTGCTCTATACTCCTGAAAATTTTGAAGCATTTTAATTTCTGATTTCTTCCTGTTTTACAGATTTATTAACCCTCCAAAACAACGGAAGCAGCTTTTCAGCAGCAAAAACTTGTCATTGGTAAGCAAAATATTCTTTGAGGCTCAAAAAAGACCATTTTTAAAACCATTCTTTATGCAGGAGAAAGAAGAAATAGGAAAATTGGGATTGATCTGACGGTTGGCAGGTCCACGATCAAAAAATTTCTGCAGTAGTAGTGTGTACCAAGTTTGATTTAAAGTCATGATTATGACCAAGAACCAAACACTAGGTCAGTTGCGCTAGCCCAGAATTAAATTTTGATGTTTCAGGCTTATAAATTGGCAAAAAATAATAAAATCTGTCCGAACATTTGATTTCTTTATCGAATATTAACCGAGACATCACCTCTTGAAAAACACAGTGTATGACATTATTCACTATGGTAGTGCATGCCATGGTTTCTTCCATCTTAGATTCATCAATTAGTGATCCACATAATTGTACTGGTTGTTTGATTTAAAACAAGGATAAAACCAAGGTGGCAGAGACATGCGACTAAGGTAGATAATGTTTAACACCATGTTTTTCAAAGTGCAATACCTGCATTAATATTGGAAATGGTGATGCCCCAACAGATCTGGTTATTTAATGGAGATCGCCAACCTGAAATCATTTGAACAGACTCCGTGACTAATGCAACTGGTCCATTGGTACTCATTCCTGATTTAAAGATCGAACAAATTTTGAGTCAAATAATTTTTCTAAAAATTGATTTTATTTTTGAAAAAGAATTGAAAATTTGAAAAATGTAGAAGACTAAAATTTTCCTAGTTAAAAGCTAAAAGACCCTCTGTCAAACTGAGGGCACTGTGTCTCAAATTGGACAGTTCAAACTGTTGCGAGTAAACTTCATTGCAGGTCATACTCACAATTTGAAGGTATCACAGATGTCCATCTTAGTGGGTAGAATTTTTGTCTGACACTCACCAATAATACATATAACCGACAATGATTATGGAGGTAGACAAATTCTTATGCTAAAATTATTTTTCTTCATCTGGGACGAGTAGATTGAGATTTCCTGCCACAGCGTTGCCATAGTGAGCCTCTTCATCTCCTCGAATACTGAGCTTCGGTACTGGAAGTTCAACTTTCCTTTCCTAAAAAAGGTCCAAAAATTCCAATTTGAAACTTGAATTTTATTGACTTGAGTTCCAATTTTTTTGTTTTTGTTTTTCAGAGGAATGTTTATAGAAACATTTTGCCGGAAGTAAGTGCCCGAACATATCAACTTATATCAAAGTCTAAACGGTTTTAGGTTCATGGTTATAAAAATCATAGTTTGAGGGAGTATTTTTAAAGTTTAATAAGCCACATTTGAGGACAAAAATTGTCGAAATAAAATGCAGCTTTTGTCCTTTTCTGTCACAAAAATGAACTAGATTGCACACAATTTATTCTGAGGAATAAAGGAGCATATGTTTCATAACAACTATAAGTACCAAATTTTCAACTCGTGTGAAAGTTGTAGCTCCTTGTACTATGGAAGCTATCCCCAAGAATTATCAAATTATAATGTTTCTACAATCATACTTTTAAAGCAAATTTATAAGGATTGAGTAAAGAGAATTCATGTGAGCTCATTATTCTTGTGAATCTTATCGTATTAGTAGATACAGAAACAAAACAAAATCGAGTTTGAGGGTGGGGACTTCCAAAATTTTTCAAGAATAAGTGGACGGGTCTTAATTGGAATAAGCTTAATTGCATTTGGCAATGTCTGATACTTTCTCATATTTTCTTTTTTTAACAGAGGACTGCAGCCTGATTGTTGAAATTTTAAGTTTGTCGACCAGAGAAGACAAAATTAAGGAAAAAACGAGTTGAGTGATTGGTCAGCTTCATCCTCTTTGTCGTGCCAGTAAAGAATGTATTCATCAAGAAGCTAGAGGCGTCTCTTGAGCTGCCGATACTATGTCATCAAGTCTTTATTAATTCCATCTTTTATTGGGACGAGAAAGATTATGAAGGATAAAGCTGACCGATCACACAACTCAATTCTCTTTGATCTTGTCTTCTCCGGTCGACAAACACAACATTTCAAGAATCAGGCTGCAAAACTATGCACTTAACTCGTTTATACTTTCTATAAATTTACTCTAGATTATGAAGAGGATACTCACAAAATTTTAAGTTTCAGAGCTGCTTCGTTTTTTCATTAAAAAATAAAACATCAGAGAAAATAGAGCAACGTCTAATGTTAGGCTAATTCCAATTAAATCCGTCCAATCCATCCATATGGAGTATGCTATTTGATTAATGTAACCATGTTTTAGGTTCATGAAAAGCGTGCCAGATTTTTTTGGAGCTTCAGCAACAGATTGAAAGTTTGGTGACATGAACCGATATTACAATTACCGGAATCCGAAGCATGGATCCTTAAATCTATCCAATTTTTCATGATAATTTACAATATACTTTCACAATATAAGGATAATGCCATGGATTTGAGGCAAAGAATAAGGTTCCTCCAAGCATCTGCAAAAATGACCTCAAGGTAATGTTCTTGAAACCGTATCTGGATAATGGCTTGAAAACTTACACTCATCATGGCAGCTCTTTCCCACTGGTAAGCTCCACATCGTTCACAGGCACCATTCGGGATTTTGTCTAATATCGTCTTCTTCAGCTTACAACTACCGCACATGAAAAACCTCTTGTTTGTTGTTATGCATTTGGTTTTGTGTTTCTCTTTGAAACACCGTTCACTCAAAGTGTACCAAGTATATTTGCACTGAAAAATCAGAGAGAGAGAGTTGATTTAAACCTAAAGTAATAAAGATAGTTGTTTGAAAAAATGATCGATTGAGGCCTGATTAATATTTGGCCCACATATTTTCTACGAGAGCAATCTCAGTGATGATTTTGTGAACCATCTGGCAACAGGCTAGACATAGGAATTGATCTGATCAACGTTCTTTGAAAATATTCCGCCACATAAATTCAAATTAATGAAATCTGGAATAAATTTGTCTCCTCTCATCAAGCTGATTATGAGTTATGCTTGACTATGGTTGTAATGTTGCACAGGCCAAAATTTACACCTTTCATTGCTGTTGAAAGAGTTCAAAACGTGTCAATTAAAAAAGGTAAAAATGACTGGCTAGTTGATTTGACACAGAAAACTCATAAAAACACACATTGTTAGCAAAGGTATTAAATTTTTGATAAAAAGTGGCGTGGCGTGCTTTGCGATATATTGATATTTCCCTATTTGACGCTATGGTAAAGAATCGATCATTAAGGTGTTCGCTGCGAACACCCTGTTTATCGATCCTTTTCCATAGGTTTAAATGGCAGATTAATCGATATATCACAAATCACGCCACGTTACTGTTGATAAATATTTTAAATTACAAACTTGATGATATAATTTGACCATATTTTTCGATTTGGAACTACAATATCTGGCTCAGTTTCGGAACAACGAAAGTGCGATTAGTTTTCCTGTGTAAGCGATTGTTTTTACAGACAAAATGCAATCCAATTACTGCTCTGGCAGCTTTTTCTCTCACAGTCAAGTTTTTTAGTTAATTTCTAGTCAAAGTTCTTTAAATTCTCCTATGATTCTTCCAAAATTGTAAGACAAAATTCGTAAATCTTCTGAAGATGATGTACAATTATTTTTTTTAAACTTTCTTCAGATTGTTCTAGTTACATGCAACCTATAGAAAACCTCATAAAATCACGCATTTTTTTTGCACTTGACATGCTCTGCGGCAAGGTGCAAGGTTCTTTCCTTTTAAAATGGAGATAACTAATCAAACATCAAATGGAGCTAAACTTACGTCGTAGCAAACATATGCTTTGGTCTCCAATTTGAATGTGGTTGTCATTTTGTTTTCCAATTGTTCTTTCTTTTCTAGTTTGTCGAAATACTCTTCTTGAGCAGCACTGTCGGCTGCTTCGACTAGCTTCGAATTTCTAGATTTCATGTTGAGTAGTCTTTCAAATTCTGCAGATTTTGTACCTGTCTCCACTTTGGGTTTAGCTGAAACATCAGAAAAACCTTCATTAAAAAATTGAAGAAAGAAAAAAAAGAGTAATGCGAACCAAAAACAAGGTGTTTGCAGATACAGTATCAGTATGGTGACTAGAATTCTTAACCATGCTCATTCCATGATTTTTTCTGATTTTTAGGAGCTCATTCCCTGATGAGGAATCAAAGTTCCCTCCTTCTTGGCCAGGATTTTATTGAAGAAAACGATGTAACGGAGTTCCAAATATGAATATGATTTTTTTCATTTTTTGGCCAATTCCCATATTCAAATGTTTAATTCCAAAAGCGTTCCTAATGTTATATGATCTGGTCGATGAAAAATTCTCTATTCTCCTGAAGATTTGAAGGCTCAGGTGCAATAACATAAACAGTAATAACAAAAGATGTTTAAAAAATCCTACCCAAAAGAGGGTTATTCATTTAGGCGAAAAATGTACCCAGTCCGGAATGTACGAAACTTTGCAGGCTGATAGTACTAGTTGAGAGAGGCTTATCCCTAGCTCCGTTTTTGCAGGAACCCCAGGGAAACAGCGTTGCCATTTTTTAAAGTCGTAACCTTCAAACATCCATAACTTTTGCAAAAATGCAGTTACAGAGCTCGTATTTATACCAAAAAACGCAAAAAATTACGCTCTATCGACTTATGCAAAAGAAATTTTAATTTGACTCCACTGTTGCCACGTTTCGGTCATTTTTTTAATTTTCGTAATTATTTAAAATCACGTTACCGCCTAAAAAAGTGTTTGCGGTTGGTGGGGATTGAATAAAAACCTGTCGGAATTATTGTTCATTCGATTCCGCATCCATTGATATATTATACTTTTCTGAGAGACTTAGGGAACACGAGTTATAGCGATTTGAAAATTCGGCAACACGCCCAACGCCCGATATTGACGCTCGTTTCGGTACGTTTCGCGACTCCGCGTTAAAGCAAAACGCCTAGACCACGCAAAATTCGAAAAGTCAGCCCATGATTTGCACTTTTTTGAAACTTTTACACGATTTTTAAGAATTCAAGTAGCGGCGGTGTTGCCGGTTTTCAATGAAAACCACCGCTGCGATCACAATTTAAAGTAGTACTCATTTAATCACGGCCAGCTACATTTGTTAACCTAAACTGACCATTTGCGACATGGTGTTCACAACATTGCCTAATTTCCGTTTTAAATTATTAAAAAAAAACTAATTAAGTTAAAAAATTAAAAAAAAACTAATTCGCGTAGAGGCGGGGTTGCCAGTTTTCATGGAAACCGCCGCCGCAATCACAAAAAAAATGTATTACTTATTTAATCACGTTCGGCCTTATTCTGTAGTTGGAATTGTTTATTTATCGAATCGATGGTTTCTGCTATCTCTCTGCAACGGCGGTGGTGCCCGACAGTAACGAGATATCGAAATTTAAAGCCCACAAATCACTCAAGCGGTCCGATGAGTAGTTTTGGCAGGGGACCTAGATCCATTGCTCTTGATCTCTATACAATATCGATATCTCGTTACTATCAGGCACCACCGCCGTTGCAGAGAGATAGCAGAAACCATCGATTCGATAAATAAACAATTCCAACTACAGAATAAGGCTGAACGTGATTAAATAAGTAATACATTTTTTTTGTGATTGCGGCGGCGGTTTCCATGAAAACTGGCAACCCCGCCTCTACGCGAATTAGTTTTTTTTTAATTTTTTAACTTAATTAGTTTTTTTTTAATAATTTAAAACGGAAATTAGGCAATGTTGTGAACACCATGTCGCAAATGGTCAGTTTAGGTTAACAAATGTAGCTGGCCGTGATTAAATGAGTACTACTTTAAATTGTGATCGCAGCGGTGGTTTTCATTGAAAACCGGCAACACCGCCGCTACTTGAATTCTTAAAAATCGTGTAAAAGTTTCAAAAAAGTGCAAATCATGGGCTGACTTTTCGAATTTTGCGTGGTCTAGGCGTTTTGCTTTAACGCGGAGTCGCGAAACGTACCGAAACGAGCGTCAATATCGGGCGTTGGGCGTGTTGCCGAATTTTCAAATCGCTATAACTCGTGTTCCCTAAGTCTCTCAGAAAAGTATAATATATCAATGGATGCGGAATCGAATGAACAATAATTCCGACAGGTTTTTATTCAATCCCCACCAACCGCAAACACTTTTTTAGGCGGTAACGTGATTTTAAATAATTACGAAAATTAAAAAAATGACCGAAACGTGGCAACAGTGGAGTCAAATTAAAATTTCTTTTGCATAAGTCGATAGAGCGTAATTTTTTGCGTTTTTTGGTATAAATACGAGCTCTGTAACTGCATTTTTGCAAAAGTTATGGATGTTTGAAGGTTACGACTTTAAAAAATGGCAACGCTGTTTCCCTGGGGTTCCTGCAAAAACGGAGCTAGGGATAAGCCTCTCTCAACTAGTACTATCAGCCTGCAAAGTTTCGTACATTCCGGGCTGGGTACATTTCTCGCCTATATGAATAACCCTCTTTACTTTTGTGCACAAACAAACTCAGTATTACTTTCGTAAATATTTGGCAAATGACTGCAGTTTAAGATAATCTTGAGAAAATTCAAATGAAGTTAAAGAAAGAACGAAATTAATTTCGGAGCAATAGAAGAAGAGGTTCTCGGTTTTCGAAACAAATTCCCTGATACACCCTGGATTTTTCTGTTTCCCCCAGTCTAGACACCTTGGATATCAGTCAAAAATAGACGGTCATCAGCCATGTCCTCCTCAGCCATTGCATCATGCCGCTTCCTCAGCTTATAACATGTTGAAACAACTCTCATTTGGTTTTTCCTTATGATGCACCACTAGACAATGTAAGAATTTAAGCTTCTTAATATCAACGGTGAAACTTCCGAGCCCAGTATATTGGCTTGCAATTTTGCAGACTTTACTTTTTGAACTGACAATTACTCGACATCAATTGGACCGCATTTAACAGAAAGGAACCAAGCCACATCAGCTATTGCCAAATTTAAATGGGCAATTTAATTTTTTACGAGGGAACGTGTGTATGGATTCCTTTGAATATGTTGAGGAATTTGCTTCGTACTAAGGAGAAAATCCACTGAAATTTGCACGAAAATCCGCACAACTGTTTTCTTGTAAAAAATTAAATAGCCCAATTAATTTTGGCAATAGCTGATGTGGCTTGGTTCCTTTCTGTTTGACGCGATCCAATTCTTGAAAACTTCCATGAATTTTCTTTTCTGTGCAAAGGTAATTCTGAAAAAGACTTCAAGGAATGATGTTGATGAATTTTCCTTTTTAAAAAAATAAAACAGGGTTGGAGATTTTCAATCAACGCAAATGATATAGAATGAGAAGGAAATTATTTAAAACTACTCACTTTCCTCTTCTTTAAATTGCTCCAGGGACTTCCGAGGTTTAGGGGTGATTGCTGCATTTAGAAGAGGCCCATGTTTTTTGACATACTGCAGAGCTTTCTCCTGTACACCAAAAAATGGAATATCAAATTTATTTATAGGATAAAAAGCGTAACGAAGCACGACTTTCTTCGAATTTCTTTCTTTCTTTCGTGAAATTTTTGAAGGTGATGAGGCCAACACTTAGTAAGAAAATTAGAGAGAGATACACAAGATTTGCTTAAAATTTTCAAAACCAGTAGAAAGTTGATTGTTACAAAAATTGGACTGGATACAGCTAATATTGTATCAAGCAGAATTCCATTTTTGTTAAGATTTTATTAAAATGAGTTTATTTCAGACATATTCACAGTTAATTAAATCTTTGAGAATAATAATAATTTACATGTTTTTATTGACAATAACTGCAATAATAACATTATCCATGAAAAATTGTGAATTTCCCTTCACAGACGATGAAGGACAAAATTTGAACTGCTGAAATACGACATAACTACAGGGGTGAACTTATTGTTCTCTTTAAATTACTATTCCCACATACAGAATCATCAAATATATTTTTAGAGGGTTGAAAGAATACTTACTTTGGCTTTCTCCCGTGCATTCTTCGGCAAACGATTTTGGACAGCACTGAGCAATTGAGATGCAATTCCAGAGGATGTTGTAGGCGGAGTTTTTGCAGCGAGAGAATTTGGATCTGTTTGTCGATTCAAAAGACTAATCTCAGGATCAAATGAGAAATTCAGCTCTACATCTACCTTCTTCTCTACGGTGGGTCTCGTTCCTGATGCGCTGGTAACTTTCACTTTCTTCGTTGGTGGTGTTTCACAAACATCTTCTGCAGGTCTTGAGTTCTTACTTTTCTTCAAAGCTAAGAAATCTTCATATGAAAAAGACTGAAAGTAATAGAGGAATTAGAACAGAGCTGTCTTGTTATGTGTGGATTTAACAAATGAAGAGAAAAAGAAACCAAAAATAAAGTATGTGAAACAGTAAAAACTAGAAAACAGTACAGAACAGTAAAAACCAAATTTGCAATCTGGCCACAAGTTACCTAAACTAAGAAAATATTTTTCACATATTCAGTAATTTTTGTTCTTAATCCGAGAACTCTCCCAGACAGTTGATTTTTAAATACGCTTCTTTTTAAAAATTGATAGCTTTTGTTCCTTTAAGTACGTTTGATACAAAAACCAAGTAGACCCAGTGATAAATTAGAAACGAATCTGCTATAAAAGTTCGTAAAAGTTGTCACAATTGGGTTTTTAACCTTTTTTTAATTGTAATGAGATAAATCAAGATTAGCATAAAATAAAGTAACAAAAACAAAACAGGACTAAAATATTAAAATAAAGAAGCTGGGACGGAATCTGGCTAGGAGAGAGGGATATCTGTGTTTTAAATGTATCAGCTTTTAAACATTCTTTTTTTATTTTGTTACATAGACTTTCATGACTGTTGATGTATTTGCATTTTCTTACTCTCTTACATAATCTAAAGGACAAAGCAAAGTTCAAAAATGTCATTGGTTCAAAATTTGATACTTCAAAATATTACAACTAAAACTCTGCTTTGACTCTCTTCAACGTAAATTCATTGCATTCTAGAATTACTCGGCTACGATCCAAATCCGTGACAATAATAGAACCTTTTCTGCCTTGAAGCTAACTTACTTGAGCAGCGTATCCTAAGCTCATAAACTTACCTTTTGATTGCTAGCGCTTGGCTTCACGACGTTTTCGAGATCTATCGAGTCATTTGCTAAGGAGCTGTGAAATAGAAAACAAAATTTGATGGAAAATCAGACAATACAAATACACTGACTTAGTGTGATCAAAATAGGTAATGGCTTAACTTTAACAAGATGGTAACGATTATTTATAATCATTAAATTAATTTGAATATTTGAATCTATGTAGATTCAGTGATTATACATTTAATACTTTTTCATGTAATATAATTACACAATGTAGCTAAATTTTATCTCGTAGCAAGACTTAACAGGAGAAATCCGTTGATAAAATGTCTGCTTGTGGGCATTAACATACATATACTACAGAGAATACAGAGAGATTGATTAATTGTGATAGATCAAAGTCACAACCAACGATAAAACTTCTTGTTGCGCCTGAAAAGCTCAGAACTTGGTGTACTTTTACATGAACATACTCAGAAACAGTACTCATCGTTCCTTGGCCAATTTCACTTCCTTTTGCAAGAGGAACTAGAAGGGGTCCGCGAAGCGGCGTTTATCAAAGCAAAGTAACTGCGAAGCGAAGCGGACAAAAAAAACCCTTCAAATATGCTGGATGCAACCCCCAAAATTTCGTGGCGATCACTCCAGCAAGTTGCGACTCAGCGTGCGACGGTGATGAATTTAATTGGACACCGGGGATTACGTGAAGAATACATTCATTAAATTTTACCCCTTTTCCCCTATATTTTAAGAATAAATTTTTATTGAGATGCCAGCAGATCTAAGATTTTTTTTTTTAATTTCTCACCGGTTTTGCTTTAATAATCACGGAATGATGAAAAATAAAAACTGTTTTTGCTTTTTATTTTCCTTCTAATTTTTTTTATCTATTTTAATTTAAAACATAGCAAGCAATACCTACAAAATTGTGGTAAATATAATTTGAAAACCATCGATTTAAACTTTTCAAAAAATTTTATTATGATGGAATTGAAGGCTGGATATTGGATTAGGAGAAAAGGCACTTATATGCGTAGCGCATGGACAAAGAACTGGTTTACGTGGAGAATTATCCATCAATCATTGGCATTCGGCATTGATTCCAAAAGAGCGCGAAAATTTGCATTACCGCAAAATTTTCGCTTTGCTATGCTTTTTCCGACCTCGCGCTTCGCTTCACAAAATGCGAAGCTTCGCGGACTCCTAGGAACTAGCTTCTATTTCTGACTAATTCTGAGCACCTATCTGCATAGGGAAACTATTGGCACAAACGCTGTTTCTATAGTGAGACAGAAATAAAAACATAAAGTCCTACAAATAAAAAAACAAATCCTAAAAATTCTGATATTCAGTACTTGCGTAAAATTAAAGATAAAATACAAATAAAACAAGAGCGAGGAGTTCTTACCTTGGTTTTGACAACTTAGGAACGGGTTTATCGAAGCTGGTATCACAGATTTTTCCAGGTTGATTTGATTTGTTTGAACCTTTAGTGGTGCCATTCAATGAAGAAGAAACAGATGGTTTACTTGAGACAGACGGAGATGACACAGGCATTTTATTCTTGGTGAATAGTCTAGAGAATGTCTGAGGCTCTCCTTTATTTGTTGACCTAAAAAAGAGAAAATTTTGGGAATGAAAAATCATAGGCAGCAATTTTAGGAGAAAAATAAACTCTTTGGCAGAAATTGAGGATAGTGTATTAGAGAAAAACGACTTGTCCAAAGCAAGAAATGTCCAAAGCAAGAAAATCTGCTTTCATTGCACAAGATGTGTAAAAATATAACATGGGAAAATTTAGTACAGTGTTGCCTGTTTCAGATGTCATTTGGTACATTCGAAACGATATGAAGCAATCTGAAAATTCTTCTTAATACATAAATAGATGAGGTAATCTAAGATTTCAAATAGTGCTAGATTCACTATAGAACAGGAAACATTTTTCTATGATTTTCCATTTTCTTGTGATTTAAATAATGTTGATTTTCATTGCTTATTTTATATTTTGTCTGAGATTTGAGTTTTTAACTAACCGATATGTTCCCTATGTTTCCTACATGTTTTTATACTGCGGGCAGTGATATTAAGTTATATTGCCGCCTATAGCAGTTTCACAACAATTGAGCTTATTCATTGCTTATTTTATATTTTGTCTGAGATTTGAGTTCTCAACTAACTGATATGTTCCCTATGTTTCCTACATGTTTTTATGCTTCGGGCAGTGATATTAAGTTATATTGCCACCTATAGCAGTTTCACAACAATTGAGCAAAATTTTAGATAGTCCTTGGAAGATCTTCATCTTTATCTTCATGAGGGGAAAAAAAATTACTACACTCTGATCATTTGCTGTATATTTTGCTGGAATTTATGCAAAATGAGCTCACCCACTTGAAGAGCCGACAGAAGATCAGCTGTCTTCAAATTAGCGATGAAATTAAATGTAAGAATCAAGATTTTCTGTTACTCTCTTAAAGTACGTAAACTTACTTAACGAAGACCCTAACTGTAGTTGTTGCCAATACTGCCGTGTGACAGAAGAACGCTGTAGGAGCCTTCAATGGTTGCAAAATTTCCTCATTAAAATGCGTTAAAATATGAATTTTCAAGGCAATATTTGAGAATTTATCCACCAATTTTTCAGAGACGTTTATTTGCAGTTGGATCTAAATTATGTTAAAATGTCAAGAGAGGATATTCATAACTCTCCTTTGAAATAAACCTTCTATTGAAGGAAGTTTGGCAACTCTCAAATGTTCATGCAGCGGTTTTCCTAAACAAGGTGGAATAGTTTAAGGCTGAATCATCGAAAACTCAAACAGGAGCTTACACAGAGTTCTGAGCCATTTTTGCCAGACGATGCTCAAAGAAAGAAGGCTGTGGTTCTTCATCTCTCTTCTTACTGGTGTTTTCTACCGACGAGAGAGGTTTACTGGGGTCAGAATTTGTCAAACTGTTGATCCGGGCAAGATCCTTCGCTCTCATCGCCAGATTTTTCTTTGCTGGCTGTAAACTGACTGACTGGTTGAAAAACATCTGCAAGATAGAAGAAAAGTGATAATTCAAAATGATAAAAAAAAAATGTAATACTCTTGAATTCCTTTGAGAACCATCCATTAATTTTATAATATTTCAGGAGATCAATGCAAGTCTCAAGCTTCATTAGATGCATAGAATTGAAAGTTGGGGAGAAACGGTGAGACAGAGAGCTGCTGGGTAAAATGCAAATTTTACCGTGAAATTGGGCTTTTTAACACAAAATCGGAAATCTATCTGCGAGGCGAGATGGAAATAAGGCTGTCAGGTAAAAACGCCAGATCAACACAAACGATCAGTAATTGGGAATATTCTGCACCATCGCTGAAGCTTTGTTTCTACAAAGAATCTATCAATAGCACTACTCTCATTTCGTTCCTTGTCGGTAACCAAAAGATTAAAAAACCCACACAACCGTAAGTACTTTAAAAATCAAAATACTATTTGAAATTTTCAAGCTGGAAATTCTCCAGGCAAAGAAGTTGGTGATGAATTTGAAAAGAAAGAATGAAAAATTCCATTGGTCAGCTTACGACAGGAGAGATATAAATGCCGTAGAGATCCCATTGTATTCAGGATCTTTTCCAGAGGGGATTTTCAAAAAGAGCTTGATTAAACTTCAGTGGCGTGGCGTGCTTTGCGACATATTGATTGTTATACCATTTAAACCTATGGGAAAGGATCGATAAACAGGGTGTTCGCAGCGAACACCTTAATAATCGATTCTTCACCATAGGTTTAAATGGCATGACATTCGATACATCGAATTCAAGCTACGCCAATGTTAAACTTACGCCTTTTTTTGCATTTCTTGAAGGTTTTTCCACTTTAGAAAACGAGGATGGTATTCGTTGGGAAAATTTTTTGTATTCTGTATTGAGATGGTAGATGCAAGTTCTGCAAGTGTTAACATTGACAAACGCGCCGCATACTTCTCCATCCTTTTTCCTGAAACATCGTAACGCAACTTGAAATTAAAATTCATAGATGAATTATTATTTCTTAAGAAGTGGAGAGCTAGTTTTTTCATGATAGTAAAAAATGCTTCATTGATTAGAAGACAACGACTCATTTTCTTCTTCCTTGACATGTTAATCAATCTTATCTTCATACCGTTTTTTATTCTTCTTTTATCTCTCTCTCTTATTCATTTATTTAACCCACGTAGATTTAATCGAACTAGTGATGTAGTGCACTTAAGGTGATTCGATGGACGCCATATTTTGTGTCAGAACGGCATGCGATATATCGCATCAATTGGTTCTATTTTCTCAGCTACTCGTCATTTTTCTCCAATTTTGAGATCGCAATTCTGTTGTCAGGAGACTAAAGCACTCTCTTACCAATTTTAACAAAGAAATTCAACGTAATAAAGGCGTGGTTTTTTCAGAGAGAAAACATCGCATTCGATACTGATATCGAAACTGCACTCGATTGCGATGTTTTCTCTCTGAAAAAACCACGCCTTTATTACGTTGAATTTCTTTGTTAAAATTGGTAAGAGAGTGCTTTAGTCTCCTGACAACAGAATTGCGATCTCAAAATTGGAGAAAAATGACGAGTAGCTGAGAAAATAGAACCAATTGATGCGATATATCGCATGCCGTTCTGACACAAAATATGGCGTCCATCAAATCACCTTAATTTTCATACTACAAAAGACAGAGAATTTCAAAAGTCCTAGTCTTCTAAATAATTTCATTAGGTTATCTATATTTCTTGATATCTTTGTAAGCTTAATTCTTGTGGGTGGATAGAAGGCATACCGATGGCAAAGTGTGCAACTGCGTATCCCCACTGCAATGGTTCAAAATTTCCACACTCTGATTTCAATTTTTTTGGGAGAAACAAACCAAATTTCTACCTTAAAATATTAACAGAATATTCTGCTAACAAAGAAAAAAAAATCAAGGAGATTTTCGAGAAATGGGCCTGTTGCAAACTTTTGCTTGAGCAGAATGAAGAGTTGTTTCCTATAGATAATGCCTCAAAAATCACGATGAGCGCATCGGCAAAGTCTGAAATGCACTCATAAATTCACAATCTGCGTAAGAAATTTGCGTTATTTTGAGCTTTCCGCTTCAAAAACGATACTACTTCACAGGTGGTAAGTGTGAATGTGGCCTGTTAGGCGATCTAAACCATACCCTCTTCCAATGCGAAAAACTAAAAGACAGAGATAAAATGTTTCAAGACTTAAAAAATATAAAATATTTCCCCCCCTACAATATAGCTTCATTATTACACAAACCCTCCTTAAGAAAATATAAAATAATAAATAACTTCCTAACTACCAATAACATATCCCTCTAAAGGTCCTATTCCATAACTACTAAAATTTCCACTAGTCCAATCCAGTAGTCCATTCAACCCTTCTATGCCCTACCAAACAACTTGTCCTGATTGTTCACTTGGTATGTTCTCCATGGCTCAGTCAATTATTTTCTTATTAGTCGCTATGTCGAGCCTCTTAGCGTGAAGCTGGTGTAGGGGACTTCTACTTTTACTATATACCCACCCAACTCTCTAAAAACCTTAAAAAAAATTCTACTGTACATTCCTATTCTTTCAAATCCCTCTTAGCTTTAATATAACCTCCTCTGTCTATAGATGGTTGTAGATTCCTATCAAAATAATACAAAGGAATAAAAGCCACAAAACTCAAAAAAAAAAAAAAAAAAAAATTTATTAGAGGAGTTGCTCCATCGTCGGCAATATTCATCATGGCCGACGCTTGCGCAGTTCCTCGCGTAATTCGAGGAGAACTCAAGGTCAATTAAGGCAGGCGAGGAAAATATGAACGTAAACACGCCGATTGTTATCTGGTTTAATTCTGTTCAGTTGTTATCTCGTCCCATCACTTGTGTTTTGGCGGACTGGCGTCGGCCATGATGAGTATTGCCGCTAATGGAACGACTCCTCTAACAAAATGTTCACCTGTACCGTAGTATCGTTTTCGAAGCGGGAAGCTCAAAAAACCGCAAATTTCTTACGCAGATTGTGAAGTTATGAGTGCATTTCAGACTTTGCCGATGCGCTCATCCTGATTTTTGAGGCATTATCTGTAGGAAACAACTCTTAGTTTTGCTCTAACAAAAGTTTGCAACAGGCCCATTGTGTTGACTAGTTCTCAAATGAAAAAATACAGTATTACAGAAAGTCGCGAATGGAAATGCGCGGTTTTGCACTTTGGCCATTGAAATACTTATGGTAGTGATTACAATATTTTTAAATATCATTTGTTAAAATAAAAAAGAAGAATCTATACAGATGATTAAGAATTTTGCAGAGTAATGTTTTCATCAGGCATTTCGTTAAGTTGTAGGAAAGACGGACAAATTTCAGCAGGCACGTCATGTTGGTTTAACCAAGAGAGGAGGGAAGCTCTTCAAAGGGCCCAAGATTATTAGATGGAGCCAATGCAGAATTTTGCACACAGAATTTAATTACACCTAATGAAAACTTACACTGTCTTACAAGTTCCATAATCCTTAGAGGTTCCCCACACAATAACTTGGTCTGGAGATCTGATAGTGAGTGCTGCTTCTTCTTTATTATTCCTGAAAGTCGAGAACAGAATAATTCTAATTAGGATTACACGGAATTACGACTATCAATGAATTTTGATCTGGAAATTGATTTTTGGGGATTGAAAAAAGTAACATTTCATCGTCTTCTGCGAGAAGAAATGTATCTTGTCTGTACTGATCTGGTACTTCCATGAACATTTCATTGATCCAAGGGAGAATGCTGCTAAGCAACGCAAAAACGCCGTAAACGCCATTATACATTATTTGGAATCAATGTGTTATAGCAGAAAAACTTGTGTGCCTTGGGACAATATTTCCATAGAATTCTTTTACAAATACTATCGAGATCTAAATCTGAAAATTTGAGGTGCATGGGTAAAACAGTTTTTATTTTATAACATGTTATGTTCCAAAAAATGAGGAACAATCTTGATGGATTTACGGCGTTCTTGCTTAGCACAGCAGAGTGGTCCCACTAATTAGTCCAAAAATTTCAGAGGTTATTAGATTTCCCCACAAGGGAAAAGAAAAATCAAAAGAAATTTTAGAAAAATTCATGTAATTGTTTTCTTACGGACAAATGAAATTTAAGTGAGAAATACTGAAACAGCCCTGTTGAGATGTTCTTTGGTGCGCGCAACGATTTTTGAGCAAAAAGTTTGAATTCTCTATATTTCGAGTTCTTTATTTTGAGTTCTCTATATTTTGAATAAAGAAGAGGAAGAAAAAAAAAGAAAAAATTACATGAAAAAACTTTAATATCTTGGTTAGTGAGATATATTCAATAATTTTTTTGCACAAATTGTGTTCTGAGTGAAATTAAGTGAGAAAAATTTCATCATAAAACTTAAATTCGCATCTTTGAATGTTTGACCATCTTTGGCGACCCCCAGACTCAATAAGGTGCAACAGCGAGTTACAAGTATATCAGTTTTCAAACAAAAACAATGCACTTTTCTTATGTACGTGTAACCGGGGAAATTCAGCTTTTCCGCTGATAAGCCTCCAATTTTAAAAAACTTTAGCTCGTTAGAAAGCTGAAGAAATTCTGCAGAGACCACTTTCTTTAATTTGCTTTAAATTAATTTTCGTCGAGATACAAAAGAAGGAAATCGACTTAATGGTGAATTTAGTGTCTTCAGCAATCATAAGTGCGCCCGGAAAAAGCTGGGTTTCTCTGCAACCAGTGACCCGATCTTAAGAATTTTGGCTTGTTAGAGTGCTGAAATGTATTTGCAGAAAGATGAGTCCCCGATTTTCTTCTTTATCATTACTTTATGAGTTATTGAAGAAAAACGATCCTCTTTTTTTATCGTACATACTAGGATTTCGAAAGAAGGGCATATCTCTGGCTTACTTTGTCCAATGATTACAGAGGGCAAATTATTTATTTTTTCAAACTTTTAATGGATTTCAAAGCTGTAGGATCTAGTTTAAGAGAAGTGCCTTTGGTTTAACCAACTGCTGCATTTAATTTTTCGGGACACCATTTCAAATCTTCAAATGCGTTGTGCTAACGACGCTGAACCTTGTACATGCGCCCTCCTCCCGGCATGGTCCTCAATTATGTCATCATAAACCTGTTTTTGAAGAATGTGGCTTTCTCTTGATTTTTCCTGTATATAATTGATTTTTTGCCACTCTTTCCAAAGATTTTTCTTTGACTTAAACAGCTTTACCTTCACGACAAGAGTGACGAAATTGTTATAATTACAATTTTTTCTTTAGAGACTGAAGAAATTTTCGACTTTAGCAAGGTTTCACCGTACATAACAAAAAACATAAAATTATACGGTTTGGAAAAAATAGAGCAATGCTTACCGATTGTCCAAGGGTGACGGATTTAGAATTCCAATCGCAGTTGCGATACCAATTTTGGATAGATCTGTATGGCATTTGCCAAATAAAAATAGACTGAATGACTTCAAACCACTGTGTAAATCACTCAAAGTCAAAATGGTGTACAAAGTTCCCTGGAAAGTCAGAAAATAATGCTGTCAGTGAGGTGTAAGGCAGTTACAACTTTAACGACTTTGAAAAAGAATTGCCTACTTTGTAAGGTTTTATTGTATAGTGAAACTACATGCTAAAAATTAATGTACTTTTGGATAAGTACAAAGTTCAGCTTTGTAGCTCAAGTAAAGTGAGCTTCGCTGACTAAAGTGCAAAATCTCATACCTCCATTGCAGGGTTTCAAAATGTCCACCTCTAATTTATTATTCTGAAAAAAACACAAGCCAACTTTAGAGCATGTTATGCGGAATATGTTGCTAACAGAGAAGGAAGTTCAAGGCCGTTTTTAATGAATCACATTGACTACTGTCCGAAGAAAAAATTAAGCATGACATGAAGTCTGCAACATCGCAAACAGTGCTGATGGTTTAACACTTTGGTCTTCGATTTTGTCTGTCTTTTATCTCTAAAAACTCATGGATTGTGCAAATTAAAAATTATTCACAGCTCCTTAAAATTTTGTAATATTCCTCGAGTGTAGGCTCTTGTTACAAAACCATAAGATGAAAAACGAGAGGAGTTGTCGATGAATCAAAATTCCAATCCTGACAAACTACAGAGCTCTGGGAAATATCGATAACCTTTCAATTCACCTGAAATTTGAGTTTTCCATATGCTGATCAAATTAACATCAATATTTTCAAAATTTCTTTTCAAATTTTTGATGTCTGTTGATTTACATATGAAGCTTCATTTAACCAGATCGAGCCTAACTGTATTTCACAATGCCTGATTTCTTTCCATACTTAATTTTTTTGCAAGAGAACTAACCAATGTAACATCTTGAAATCTTCGTGAACAGCAGAGGGAACAGACTCACAAAATTTGGAGATAGAATGTGTCTTAGTTTTCTTGTAGAGTAAGAGTAATAAAATATAAGAGGTGATGGGGCAATATCTTATATATTTAGGCCGACTCTTTTGAATACCGTCTAAATTCAACTACCTGTTTCAGCAATCCCATTTTAGTTTTATATCTGTTTGATTCAAGATCTTCAAAGAACTTTTGCGTACCAAAACCAAATACCAAAACCTTCACAGATGAACCTGGGAACCAATACCTTCACAGATTTCTGAGAGTTGCAAGATTAAAGCTTACCTTTGAGGAAGCTTTTGAATATCTTGAAACTATTATTCCAGCAGTAAACCAGTCAACTTTGTCAAAATCTTTTGTCAATAAATATCTATTCAGCTCATGAATTGGAACAGGTGTACGACCTTTGGCCCGCTCTAATAATGTTGCTGATGAAAATAGTGGGTTCCTGAACATCACAAAAGAATATAAATCAAGGAATAAATATACTTCGGCTTATTGAAGGCAGTCTTTCTAGAGGGGAATATTGCATGCGATACTGGTGCCGGAATCGCAGTCAAATGCAATATTTTCCTCTAAAAAACCCTGCCTTTATTTTGCTGAATAAGTTTAACAAATAAAGTGAGTAAATTCTTTAGTCTTGACCCAACAGAAATGCAATTTTCAATAAATATTATAATTAGGTACAGTTAACTTATGAGTTAATACATGAAATATATTGCATGTCATTCTGACTCATTGTCAGAGCTCTACACCCATCAAATCACCAGAACATCAGTTAAATGGCAAAATATACAAATGGGTAATTGGTACGATTTGCCATGGTCCAATTGCTTTGCATTAAATATATATCAATGACCAAAGTACGAAACCTTATACCTCCATTTGCAGCTTTTCAGACTTCATGTCACACTTAGGTCTTTCTTTGGAAAACAAGTCGGTAAAATTTACACATTAATATCTCGTTTTGGAGTTAATTTTTAAACGCTCTGTGATCTGAATCGCTTTCCTCGCAATTTTGGAAAGATACATGTAATATGGTGATTTACTGCAAAGAACAAGGTAGACTACTGAATAGAAAAAGAAAATCTACTTACACAAGCCTCATTCTGAAAATAGGATCAACAAAGACATTTAAATCGGAAGGAGAAGATCCAAATTTAGGGAGTGGCTTTGGAGTATCAGAGCTATCCTTAACTTTCTGATTCCAAGACTTGGTGACATCATTCTTGGTGCGCACAGGATTGGAATTTGAAACTTTTTTTTTTAAATCCTGAACAATGACTCGGTTGCTTTCTCCATACTCATCATCAGATGAGTCTAGAGCATTTTCATGCACTACACTTTTTTCTTTGGTTGAAAGAGATTTTTCTTGCTTGGGTGTTGGTTTGGAATTCTTTGGTGTTTTTTTGCTGCTTTCGTCTAGTGAGTGACTAAATCCATCACTTTCTGTCAGAAATTTAGCAAGGAGCTGCAAATCATCTGAAAAATTGAAATAGTTTGTTCTTAGGGTACAATCTAACTTCCAAACTGACTTTTACAATGTAGATTAATGGAAGATAGGTTTTCATGTTTAATTTAAAATTTGAAACATACTGTTGATAAACCAGAGGAGAAAATTGTAAAAAGGGAAGCATAGAAAGTATTATGATGCTTGTTACACTTCCCTCCGAACCTAAGGTGATTTGACAGTTGCCATTTTTTGTGTCAGAGCGACATGTGATATATCGCATCAATTTGTTCCATGATTTCAGATATCAGTCATTTTTTCAAATTTTGAGATCGCTTTTCCATTGTCATAAGCAGGGCTTTAGAGCTGAGGTTTGAGGCAGAGGCAGGTACCTGGCGCTGACTTTCATGCCGCATCGGACAGTGCGCCGGGGATTGTATTTGCCCGTGAGGCGCTTAACCTGGTGAAGCTGACACCTGGCATGGCTTCCTGATGCCACATCAATTTTGATGCTGGCAAAAGTGAAGCGGCCTCATTTACACATGTCGGACGCCAGCGCCCCGGGCGGCTAATGGCACCAGGCTGTGTTTTCAACCCTTCCTCGGTGTCCACTTCTGAGAACTTCCTGGCTTGGGCCACAAATTCATCACCAAGTCCAAGGGTCGCATACCCCCGCAGTCTTTTGGGACACCCCTGTCGGTAATGAGGCTGGGTCGCGAGACCAAAAATTGATGCCACATCGGACCGAGAGCTGAGGCTCCGGCATCAAAAAGGTGAAGCGCATTTTGGTCCCTTACGTAGCATCAGCACTTAATGCTGGCCTGGCCAGTGCGTCCACATTGGGCATCGATGCTCGAAGCCGGCGGGTTGGACGCAATAGGCACGGTGCCGCTTGTCTGCAGGGCGTCTACCTGGGCATACAGCATTAATGCTGATGCTGCGAGCCGATGCTGTTCGGCATAACCTCGTGAGGCGCTTCAAGTCCCTGGTCAAGAGACTAAAAGAATTCATGTACCAAATTTGACAAAGAAATTCAACGTATTAAGAGCAGGGTTTTTTCAGAGGAAAAATACCAGTGAAGTTTCGGCATTTGTATCGAATACAATATTTTTCCTCTAGAAAAACCCTGTCTTTATTACGTTGCATTTCTTTGTCAAAGAACCCCGCACAGAGCATGGGGTCAGCGGCTCTCTATGAAAGTCGATGAAACTTTAATAGATTGATATAAAGTTCATAATTAAGGGAAACCCAAAAAATTAGCTCACTTTTGCGAGTAGAAGCCAAGATATTCGCGATTGAACCCGGACTATTTTCTGTGCGGCAGAGGTAAATTCTCCGTGTCGCCTTACCTTGCTTGGGCAACATCGGCCAGGAAACCCCCTCTCCCCACCAGGTTCTTCGGTACATGAATTCTTCAGTCTCATGACGACAGACATGCATTCTCAAAAGTTGAAAAGAATGACAAGTAGCAGAAATGATGGTACGAATTGATATGATATATCAAACGTCGCTCTGACACAAAAAATGACACTCAGATTAGCTGGTTGAGAGCGACAATAACTCATTCTCCCCCTTAATTTTTCTCAGTACCTTAGCCTATCCAAAAACGCATATCCGCATGGAAAAGTGACTGAATAGTAGTATCAATTCACTAGTTATATGTAATGTGGGTGGTCACTCTTTCATGTCATATCCTCGCTAGAATTCCACCAACAACTGGATGGGTAATTACATCGAAACAATGCACCATGAACAAAATATGGAAATAAGAATACTTCTCTGCAAGAAATTCAGGATGATTCAAATTTGTGAGATGCCTAGTTGCTGACTTTAAATGCCTAGTTGCTGAATTGTAAAGTACTGATTAAATCAAGAAATTATGAAGGATGAAAACCTAGCACTCACCTGCCATTTCAGCTCTTCACCATACCTACGTTTACAAGACTGAAATTCAAAAATAGTTGAAAAGTAAGTTCAATTTGCCCTAGTGAAGTTCTGATGAGATTATATACATTATTAAATAAAAAATTGAATGTTTAGAATAACTAAAGGCTGGAATGTTCAATTCAGATGCTGGAATCTTCAAGTCAAATCCTTATCACATGGACCACGTCTGCCGTTCGGAACTGTCGGAACTAAACAAAACAGACAGCATTTTGGCGGTAAATAATGATGAACAAATTCACATATGAAACAAAACTTTTTGAGCCTTCAAAATGATGATTTGTTATCAAAAGCACGGTTCACATAAGTTTATGCATACGCACATTTCAAATAGATGATTTAGTTTTTCGCCAATAGGTAGCGTTGATGTATGTAAACAAAGAAAATCTGAAGAAAATGTTATGATTTTAGGTTAGGTGATGTTGCATAGTAGATTGATAGTAAAAGAGTAAAGGGAACATTGAGGAATAAAACGTGAGAATTACGGACATGTTCATTGATTGTGACTTTTTGTTTCCTTCACAATGTCTATCGAGGAACGGTTGAACTATATCAATGGTGTGCAAGACTTTATCAATTGCACATCTTCGAAAATTCAAGATACTTTGTCTGCCTTGGGATGGAATGCATCCGAACTCAAATACACCGTAAGTTAAACACTGACTCTGATGTGTAGGCTTAATTGTAATTAATTCAGTGGTTTTGTCAGTTTAAGACAAATAAAGAGTGAGAAAGCTGAAGAAAGTCTGAGGAAGGCAGAAAGGAAGGAGCTCGTTTCCACACCACCTTAGGAGAGACTGATCAGATACATAGTAGTTCTGTGCTGCACCTGGAGGTAGAGCCTTCGGCGCGTTTTTGTTAACGTGGTATCGCCATGAGCCCTAATCCACGAGGTATAGAGGAAGGGGGAGAGGAGCGGGAGAGAGAAAACTAAACGCAACGCTTACCAAAGCTGACGCAGCTTCACCTGTTACTTCCATGCCATTTTCAATACTGCTGTGCAGCATCGGTGCCCTCCGAACTAAACAGACTAAACAGTCAAAGGGACCCCTTTATTGTAAACAGGATTTTAGAATCTCCTTTTTTGTTTCTTAATCGGTCGAGGAACCTCGCGGCTTTGGAACAATGAACGAGCTTAAATTTTTGTAAAATGGAAAAAAAAAGGAATACGGAAAGGAAGTGTTTTTGGGGGAAATCCTTAATTGTTTGGAAAAAAAGGCAATGAACTGAAGGAGGAGGGGGACAACAAAAGAAAATCTATTGATGAACTGAGCGCTATTTCAAAATCGAGAGGGTTTAATGTGATGAAAAGACCACAATAATTAATAGCTTTTGCTTTGAAAAACCACAGTTCATTCATAGATCTTTTTTCCTGCCCCCCCCCCTTCCCTCTTAAGAATTTTTCTGTTTCCCACAAAGTTATGTCTTGTGCAGCTTTGCGCACTGGGCCAATCTGGGGGCTTGTGTTTAGGATTTGTTCGGAGGGGGATGGGAACTATGGACCGCAAAAGGTCCTCTTTTGGTGAAATTTGGTGGAAAGGGGGCGATCAGGCAATTCCCCTCCCCTCGCTCCTGGGCCAGTCCGCCCCTGTGAAATCTTTAATCGAGCGGCTCATTGACCAAATGGACCACATTTTGCTATTCGGAACTGCAATTTCTGGCTCAGTTTAGAAACCACGTATGTACCATCAGTTCCCCCATGTACGCTAGCGTTTTACGGATGAGCCTGAAATTGTAGTTCCTAATCGCAAAATAAAGTCCAAATCTTCGTTTCCTAGACGAAGGACCGTATTGCATTCCGAGGCTGCAAAATTGACTCCAACAAATCAATATTTTTACGAGAACATGACTGCAGGTTAGTTTAAAATGTGATTCATTTCAGCGCAAGATCAGAAGAAAAATCTGCGAAATATTCCGCTAAATCCGCAATTAGCGTTTTATCCTCGGAGAATACCCGCATACAATTCGGCTCTTTTGCCTCATTTCAAAATATATTGACAATATTTTCACAAAAACCGAACTAAGTAAATTTTGTGGGGATATTTTGAAAATAGTTTGAAATGGTGCGATTTTTCAGGTTTCTCCGAACATTTTCAAAGTTAGGTATATCACGTTTGCTTTTCTATCTTTGCGTTTAAGTCTCCTTGCTGTTGCATTGCTTACATGGACGTATTTCTGCCGAACGGAACTTGCCTTGATCTGCATAAGAATATATGCAGATCAAGGCTCACGTCATAATGCACATGCTTCCGTTTGGTAGAAATACGTCCACATGATCGACTTCTGCTGATGTTATGCCAAACGGTGATTCCGGCAGCCACCCAATAATTGAGTAACCATTTTGTATTATTTTTTTTTTCTTCTTTATTCAAAATATAGAGAGATTTATATATTTTTTTCTCTAGTGATATTTCTATTTTCTTTTGATGTAAATTTTTAATTCTGTAGTAACGTTATTGGATGGCGAATAAACAAACAAAAAAAAAAAAAAATAATCGACTTACAGAAAGCGCCTCAGGAACTGCACTTATTGCGTCCTCTAGCCACATTCCCAGTTACAGGGTTGCCAAAGTCAGAGAATACCAGGAAAACTTGAAAATGTCAGGGAACTTGTAAAAGTCAGGGAAAATTACGAAAATGTCGGGGAAAAATCCTTAAGTCACCTTTTTTTTTTTGCTCTCTAAGAAAGGTTTGACGTTTCGAACAACCAATTCGCCTGAAAACTATCTGTAATTATGTTGTTTTAACCATCTGGCTTATCTTTAATTGTCAGGAAATTTCACCCAAATGTGTTAGGGAAATCAGGGAATTTCATCTACTAAATTCTGTGGCAACCCTGCAGTTAGGATTTTTTCTTTTAAGAATATCTACGCTAATGCAGCTCTTTTCCCATCATTTCAGAATATTCCCACAATAACGGGAATTACCACAATTTTGTGAGGGTATGTTTTAAAATGGTACGATTTAATATTACATTTGCCTGGGCGCCCACTAATTCTGTATGTTCTGAATTTTTAATTACCTCTGTTTCAGGATGTCAATAATGCTCAATGCCCTTTTGACAGAGGGCACTGGATGCCCTCCGAAAAACTTCCTGCTCACATCGAAATCTGTGCCCTGAAGAAGGAAGGTTATTCTGGATCAGAAACATTATTGCCCCCTAGTTGTGGAAATGAAAAATATGCTATTAAAATTGGTAAGCCAGTTCTACGAAACTCTCATCCAATCATGGGCGGAAATAGGAACTTACTGTAGGGAGAGGGGGGGGCAGAAGGGCATCTCATCAAGGGAGGTCTGGGGGACACAAAAGACTTATGGATGTATTTATGTGAAATGGAAGTAAGTGCAAGTGAAAAAATGGGGTGTGCTCGGCTTGTTAGTGGTTGGGCCATAAGAATGAATGGTAAAAGCGCCAATGACATCAGCGGTGAGGACTGGGCGCGACGATAGGCGCGACACGAGCAACGACGACTGCGTCGTCAGTCTGTAACTCATGAGCCCTATCCACAACGCTTTTGTCGCATGTCCACGGCTCACGAGTTAGCGCTCAGTTCCTTTTGATTTAATGTCAAATCCTGCTTTTCCATTTTCTCAAAAGGAACTATATCCACTTTTACATTGTTTCTTATCCAGCTTCCACAATCACACCCCATTTTTCCACTCCCACATAGTTCCTTTTAGCTTAAATACGTTGATATGTCAAAGCAAAGACTTTGCAAAGTCCTTCACATTTCATAGGAAGAGGAAGAGTGTATCACTGCATTGCTGTATATTTATTAAACTAACAGGAAATCAATGCTCCCACCCTATTAACATGTGAAAGAAATATCTTGAAAGCAAATTTCAACGGAATAGTAGGTGTAGCTTTCAATTTTGTTAGCTAAGCATGAAAAAGTGTTTTGGAAATTGATGGGAATTTACTAAACAATGCATTTTATAAAAAATAAGATTGTGTGAAACTGACTTAAGTAAGATCATTATGAATCAGGCATGTTTTGGCGCTCTTGCCATCCTCAGTGATAAGACACAACTGTGAGTTGCATCTCATCACTGAGGATGGCAGAAGCGTCAGAACATGTCTGATTCATAATAATCTTACATAAGTGAGTTTCATGCGATTTTATTTATTTTATGATGAAATAATGTTGCAGAAAATGAGGAAGAAACTTTAAATAATGTGGAATTAAGCTGAAATTTGGGGGGAAAAGGCACTTTTACGTAATTTTCCTATTTTCCCTTTCTACTTTAGCGGAATACAATACTTTTCTACTTCTGCTTTCAAATATATTTTTATTGTTGCAGATTCTGAAACTCGGAAACAAGTCCTTCGATCAGCTTTTTTGGCAAATCCACGGTTAAAATTAGGTGAGTATTTTTCTATTCTGTTCCTTTTTTTCTTTTTTTTTGCCAAGTTTCTGTAAACTATTCTAGAGGGCGTAAATCTTTTTATGATTTTCATAATTAAATTTATTTTTTGATCTTGTATTGATATTGTAATGACCATTTGAAGTAGCTCTATCGAAGAAAGGGTTACAATTATTGCAAGGAGGAGCAAATTCAATGAACTATGCCCAAATACCACAAGGTTCCAAAGTCAATGATTGTACAAAAAACAAAATCCGTGGGTAAGGGGGCTAAAACACAATTAAAAAACATTGAAACATTTTGATTATTTTAATTGTGTTTTAGACTTGTTAGCCTTTGATTTTTGTATATTTTTTAATTGTCTTTGTCACGGGCTGCCACATTTGGGCTCACATTATAATGGCAAAGAGTTCTCTGTCCAATGCTAGCCCTCAATGAACAACATTTTTCCAATACAGTAAAAGTTATATCTACTTTATTTTATTCATTTATTTTTCTCTATTTGAGATGTATTTCTCAAAGTCAAGACGGTCAATCTAATATTCAATGAATTGCTTCAGTTAAGAATCTGAACGAATTTGAAAGGTAAGCAGAAGAGAGGAGTTTTAATCCTTGATTTTAAGTCCAAGAAATTATTTGCCCGGGTAGAAATAAATATTTGTGTAGGAATCACCTTCATATTTGTGCACCATTGAGAGTTTCCTACCCTATATCGACGGCAAAACTGTGAAACCCAGTATCTTGGTTTGTGTTAATTCAGACCTCTTGTCATACTTTATTTTTTCTCTGGAACACTAATCAACATAACGTCCGGAAAACTTCCTTGATTTTTTCTCTCTCTAAGCAGAATTTTTCTGCATGGATTTCAAGCCATAAAGAAGCTTTGTTTCTCCTTGAAAAAATATAATATGAGTGGAAATTTTGAAACAAGAATGGAGGAATCTGGTTTCGCACTTTGGCCATTTGTATGATTGATTTAATTTTTTTGTTGACAAATCCTGTTTTAATTTTCTTCAAATACTTTCTCCTCCAGAATTATTTTTCTAATTAATGCTTAGGGTTTTTTTCTCTTTTATTTTTATTTTATAGGAAACATTCTACGAAAAATCGTTTACCTTGAAATGCTTCAACAGAAGTGTATTTTGTTGTCCAAGATATTTGTTATTTGCAAATGCTGTCTTTAAGCATGAACTTCCTTACACGAGTATAAACTTTTTTCCATTAACATAAGTCAAAGCTGTCAGACTTATAATACTTTAAGTTACCTCAAGCATATTCTTTGATTTGTGTTCAAGGTTCTTTTCAGTTGTCACTTCTAATTCTCTGATCTCATCCATGCGGACAATGATCACACGATGAGAAAGATCAGGAACTTGACTGAACTTTAAGTCCTTTTAACTCTACCACCATAGTATCCTTTTGCCACTGTGAAGATTAGAACTTATAAAAATTCCGCTCTGTGTTCTCAGAATTCGTACCTTGCAATATGTGCTTGCGTTCATTTTGTATCCTTTCACAATCTTCTTATAACATACACTCTTACATTAAATTAGTTTTACCTTTTGAATCTGTCAAGCAAAAATTTACCTTGGATAACTTAAATTTGCACTACTGAAAATGATAAAGTTTTATGTTACCTTTACACTCTCATGCCTTAAGGTGTTGCCCTCACACCCTTTATTTACCTTATTTTTCTCAATTACAAAGAAAAGTATCATCTCTGTGGCATTTAATATCACTTGGTTGTAGCTTATCAAGTATGAGTATGATAAGTCACTTAAAACGTTCAATACTGCGTTGAAAAAGAGGAGGTGTGTCAGTTGTTTGGAATAAGTGCATTATGAAATTTTTGAAAGGGACACTAAACTCTTTTCGATGAGATTCAATCCCAAACTAAGAAATATGATCTTCTCTAGTCTCCTTTCTTTCATATTTAAGTTAAACTTTTACCTCTCTCTCACTTACATTGCCTCTGAAATTTTCCATTTGTAGCAATACACAATTATTAGTTTAATGTACTTTCCGTTATGATTCCTTATCAAGTAAACAGATCTAAATTTGTAGAAAAATTTGTATGCAGGAGTTGAGGACATATCTAGAGATGATCGTCCGATTCCAAGAACAGCCGATCGCTGCGTTTCGGAATTTACCGTGGATGAGCGGCGAGTTCTCTATGATTTTGCCGTCAGCCAAACCTCCAAACCCAGCGCTGAAAGGAACATTCAAGACATCCAACTTTTTGAGAATATTGGGTGAGTGAAACAAAACACTTTGTAAGTACATATGTTATTCAGCGAAATGTCAGCATGTACGAACTCTGATTCAGGCAGAAAATAACTGGTTGAAACCAGCACATAATTCTGTCAGTCTTGAAATTGAAAAATAAGCATTTCTTAAATGTAGGGCTTGTATCCGCAAGAATTCACTTACTCTGAAATTTCAACAAAATCAAACTCCATTAAATTCCATTTTTCCATATCATTGCGCAATTGGCTTCAAAAAGCCACAAAAATGAAAACTTCTTATTGATTTATCTCTCTTTTATAGAAGGCTCTTGCTCAATATTTTGAATAATAGGTCAGTGGCACCTATTTGTTTAATGTATTTCCTGAAATTTGGAATTTTTACTGATTATTTTAATTCTAATGGGCAAAAATATTGCATCCTGAAATAGCAAAAATGAGACCTTTGTTTTTGGCAGGTTCTAATGACGTGGCAGGGAAAATGACGTTAGCTAATTGGCCAAACTTACTTCTGGTATTGCCTTGCTACATCAGCTCCTCCATAAATTGAATCTCAAGAAGTGGAGTCTTAGTGCGGAAACAAATGTGTGGCATAACTAAAGAAAATTAATATTAATGAAAGTTTTGTTTAATGGTCAGAGAGTTGGGAAATTTTGGAGTCAGGGAAAAGTTAGGGAATTAAAAAATGAAGAAATTTTGGGGATACTGAATATTACAAAGAATTGATTCCTGAAACATTGTTCCTTAGCCCTGATACATTCTGTGTAGTCACAGCTTTCATTTATTCTTTTTGTGTTTGCAGACGCACTTGTGCTGAGCCAGCTAAAACGACGAAAACTTTGGAAGAAATGATGATTGAAATGCGGGATGCAAAACGAAGACGAGCTTCATATAAAGGGAAAAAGGTCAAAGCAAAAAGTAGATCATACACAGAGGTAAATACTCAGTATTAATCATGTCAATTCCAATTTTACACGGAAGTATGCCCCTTGGTGGCATGTCAGCTGAACCCTTTCGAGAACTTTGCTCACTTGGCTGCTCTCATGAGCCTGAGTGAGCAGAGTGAACAAAGTGTTCCCCCTCAGTTCCATTCTTATTTTGCTTAGAGGTATAATAGGGAAAATTAGGGTACCAAGAATTTTCTTTTCAGCCAGATGGCCATGCGTAGATGGCTAATGGCCATTCCTTTTCGAGATATTGATTTTTTCCTGAGTGTTTTGTGCTTCTAGTATTTGCCGTACAGTGGTAGTGTCATTATGGGGCAAAACGCCTGGGAAAAGATCAATATCTTGAGAATGGACAGTCATCGGTAGCTTTAAAAATACAGTTACCTTTTCCCTTAATCTACCCCTGTGCAAACTGTAAATAAAATTAAAGTTTCTGTCTTATTCTTTTCAGTGTCAAAATTTCTTAGTAAATCATTGAAGTATGAAAATTTTCAAAATAGATCAAAATTTACCTGTAATATTAGTATATATTTCTCAAGTGAAATCCTAATTTTTCTATCATGTATGCACTCACATTCAAAGGGGAAGTATTTTTTTTCCTCATTTTGAAATTTCTTTGTGTTAACTGCTATGTTTTTCAATGCTCTTGGTTATCCTGTAACTTTGAAAGTGGTGACCTTTTTTTTCCTCCAAATTTTGAGCATTTCTCATTTAAAATATTTGAAGATTTATTAAAATTTTCTAGTCGGAAAAGTTTGAGATCCTCTCCTTGAGACTATGTAAAAATTTAGAACAAGAAATCTCTCTGCACTCCTGAGTGTCCAAAAAGTACGCATTGTCATCTTTATCAGGTTGGAGCAGTTGACTAAAGAACCTAAATCACTCTGAACAAGATAATGTTCCTCTCTCTCCAAGTTCAATAAAATTTCAGAAAGAAAAATAGTGATAAGAATCTGCTCAGGCCGACTGTCAGCAAAACATGCTTTTGAAATATTACACTGCATGCCTGTCTGAAACTTGAGTACATCTGAGATCCTTTCAGACTAAACATTCAGCATTTACCCATGTCAACGTTGCTGCAATATGACACTTTTTTTCGTACAATCATACAGAATCCTCCTCATCGGACATATCTTTGCCAAAATATTCAGAACAATAGAGACAAAATTCGAGGCAAATAGCAGAACAAAGCCTGAAGTTCTGTGCCAGTTGAACATTAGAGATATGCACAATCTTAGCTACATTGACATTGGTACATGTCGTTTAGTCAGGAGATCCTCATCTGTAAATGTGTCCTGCCTTAGTTTTTATGTACTTTTCTTTGAACAGACTCTGAAGAATTTGATCGAGACCCAAATGGATGTCCTCACAGAAATGAGGGATGACGACTCATCCAGTAACAGATGTGCCGCCCAACCAGAGCAAGAACACTCAGAAGCTGCCTCTTTTGAAGAGCCAGAAGCTCCCAGTAGACCCCAGCAGCTTTATGAAAAAGAATTCATGCGGTCAGATCATGCAAGTTATCTTGGGGATTGGGTCGCAAAGTTTAATAGAAGAGAGCGTGATGATTATCGGGACTCAGGGAGCTATAGGTCTCATCATCAAAGTCGCCACACAGATGGAGGATTCAAGAAACTCAAAATAGCCGATTCAGGTGAGGATTTCAGTTCAAATATTAGAAAGGGTCAAGCATAACATCATACAAATATTCTGTCATCAAAAGTTCATGATAGACTTGTTGGATGTATCAAAAAATTTTAAAATCAAATTTTAAATCAGATAGGTCCTCGCGATTATTGCTTTCATTCAAATTAGTAAACTCAAATTTCCTGCTCAATAAAGAAAGCAAAATCAGTGTGGGACACAATTGGTCATAGGAAAAAAACTTATCATTGGACAGATAATTAGGGTTGGGCTTCAAGAAAAATTTCTCATAGGATGATGCTTAGTGCTTGTAAACTATCAAGAATAATTGCTGTGTTGTAATTAAATGGTGGATCACTTGCAATGAGTGCGACTGCCAGGGTAGGTTAGTGAGAGGTGGAAACAACAGAGCCCACTTCTGGGAGGCCAGGGCTGTTACTCCTAATTAATTTTGACTTCAATAAACTCTGGTTCTTAGGCAAGTGGGAAGTCTAAATTTTTCCAACATACATCAAAGTTCAGTATAAAACTAGAATGCTCATCATAAAAGTAAAAAGCTTATTCAAGCATATTTTTGCCTCAAAGAAATGTGTTGTTTGTTTTGGGACTAGTTTGTCCTACCATAACTACAGCTCCCTGATTTCCGCCTTAATGCTTAGGTAGGTTGTTGAAACTAGTTCAAGGTCTGGGCAGCAGGCAAACTTACCATCTTTCAATGAGAATTCCAGTTTTTTACTGAATTTTAATCCATTTTGACAAACTCCTCTACTCCTCCTCCAAACGACCTGTGCTTCAAACAGCAATCTGTTCATAGAAGTTTGAATTTACCTACAAAAAACATTGATTTCTCTTACGAGATGAGATCAGAAAAACTTGAATTCGTTTATGATGTTCTGCATGAAATCCTGATGAGAAAAATATGAGCTGCAGTCTCTAACCTTGTCAAGAATGCTGTTTATTTATCATGCTAAATTTTTTTTCAGTCATAGCCCTACTTTTTAAGGTCATTGGCTTTTCTGAAATCATTTTAAGTGTTGTGAGCATAAAGTGCTCTGATATCAAACTGATAAAAACAGAGGATGTAGGTTAAAATAATTTGGGCCCGAAGGAAGTTGAGAAAGTATTCGGGAATAGTTATCCAACACTTCTTGAAATGCTCCAAAGATTTTAAAATTGAATTACTTTCAATGAGGCACATTTTTCTGATTAATATGGCAATTAGCTGTTTGAAGTATCGAAGGCAATTAAGCAAAAAAACTTTTCATATAGGTATTGACGGTGTAACTGCAAAAATGCATGTCTCGGTTGCGGTGGTTTCAAATCTCCATTCTTATTATATTTCCAACCTAACCAACATTATGGCTTGAAATTTCCAGAGGATGTTCTTCACTTAGAGGAGAAAATTCAATGTAGTTTTCAAGAAATGATGTTGAGTAGTTTTCCATGTAGAAAAAGAAATATGACAAGAAGTCTGCAATGCCGCAAACTTATATGCATTTCTGCAGTTTCACCATCAATGTTTGACAAAAAGTCTAATATATTGAATAATGCACAGCTTTGGATTGTGATGTGAAAGTTGATCACATTTGCTCGATAAATTTTTTTTACTTTGCTGTTATCACGCTTTTGTGTTGTGTATACAGTTTCATAAGTTTTTCATTGTTACTTATCCTTAACCCATGCCAAACAGCCATCTATTTATCGAAATTTTTATAATCTATTTTTCATTTTTTCAGGTCACTCATATGAAAAAAAAGACCGGTCTTATAAGCGCAAGAGGTCACGCAGTCCTGACGCTAAACTCTTTTCTAGAAGTAGTAGCCGCTCTTATGATTTTTCTTACTATGGCGGAAAACCATTAGTTAGGGATGAAGATGAAATTTCTAGTCACTCCAGGCACCAAGCAAAGCGAAATTCACCTGGCCAACCAGAAAGGTACCGGGAAAAGAGTTTTGAAGACGAAAAAAGAAACAAACATCGGAGCAGGAGCCGTAGCAAAAGTCGCTCAAAACACAGAAAACACAGGAAAGAACACAAAGCAAAAAAACGCAAAAAGCACCACAAAGAACAAGACAAACACCATGAGAAGTCCAAGTCCTCAGGTGGTGAGAGTGAAATTAGTTTATAGCTGTATATAGTTACAGTAGTATATGTACAGTGTATAGCTGTATATAGTCGATAGAAGAAACACAAAAATATCATCGGAGCCGTAAAAAAAGAAAGAAGGAAAGAAAATGAAAGTGGTCAGACTATTTTTTTCATGTTCAATGATAAGTCTCTCTGTCATGAGTTAATGAATTGACTCGAAGCAGGTTTTTCAGAGGAAAGTATTCCTTTGCTAGTTATCTGCCGAAAGTACATGTGTAGATTTTTGAAAAAATTCGAGAAGTGACCAATTCTTATTTTTGATAATTTAATTCTTTTGTCATTTATTTCATCAATTTTTGCCTGTGATAAAACTATAATTCTCCATAATTGTTTCTGGACCCAGTCCATACAAAACTCTTAGATAAGTTGTTACTCAAATTTTTTCACCTGAAAAGTTCCAGGAATGATGATAGCGAAATAATTCCTCCAGCACTCAGATCACATGGTTTTACGTAGTATTTCGAATAAATGCTCTGGTTTTTTAAACCTTTTCCCCCTCATGAATTTTATGACCTTCAGTGCAAGATAAAAATGATAAGAAACTGAGCAGGCTGTCAAGAAAATACTTCCTATTATTTTTGTAACTGTCAATGATTTCTTCAAGTACAACAAGAGGGCGTTAATCATTGGAATCATCCGTTAACTGTTGTTAATTTGTTAGGTAATAAACTAGATTTTGTACCTTTATTCTCAGTTATTTTCATTTGTCTTATGCATCGCACACAATAGCCATTATTTTTCTTCCTTTTGACTGTAAATTGAGAAATAATTTTTAACCAAGCACCAGAAAACAAATTTAGTGCATGGAGGCAAATGTTTGTTAAGTTTTGTTATAAAAGTGAAAATTTAGATCTCATCAGAAAGCACTTTTAAGTATTTTGAAAAATAATTTGTAAGCAATGTAGTTTATTGGGACATTAAGAGGTTTGAAGTGGCATTGTAATCCAAAAATAATGAGCCCCTAACATGACAGATTAAAAACCCTCACTGCTTTTTCCCTTAACACAGTCTCTCAAGCAGCAAACTTGAAACAACTGTCGGGAAGGTTAAAGTTAACATTAATGGGATGGGCGTTTTTATTCCAAAATTTGTGTAAATCAATCACTTTGTTACTTTAATGGTGGAACCAATATCTCACTTTCGGATTTTCCAGCACCAAAGCCTTTTTTCCTGTAGATAGGCACATGCAATGCGTACCATTTAAATCCAACTCTCATCCACCAAAGTTGGTACTCTAAATAATAACTCTGTTTTATTTTTCAACAGAAAAAAGAAATTTTAAAGATGAATTTCAGTTATAAAATACATTTTGATGATGAAACCAGAAAAATAGGCTCCTTGATTGTCATGTCCTTCAAGCAATATTTCTGCTTTTCGTTTGCAGTAGAAAACTAGCTTATATTTTCATGCTTTTTTTTTAGCTTATAGAATTCACTTAATCACAATCAGGTATAATTCCAAAAAAAAAAACAAAAAAAAATGGTTGAACATAATATAATTTGGTCAGAATTTTTCAATGTTGGAAACTGAGAGACTCGATTCTGTAGTTTCATCATTGTTTGCATTGCACTATTTCAGAATTTTAGTTTTCAATTACCTATTCATTCGTCTCGTAAGAAATAAAATAGAAAAATAAAACCGAAGCAGTTAAATTGAGGTGTTGAAAATTTCTAGTAGTTGAACTGTTTTCCATGAGTTGGTAGACTCGCTGAGTAATTAGTGAAAAAAATTATGTTCACTCAAGTCGAAAAGTAACTGAAATAGCGAATTTTTTAAATTTTGCAAACTCTACTGTGCTTTTAAGTATCCTGTTCCGTGCTATTGAGAAGCAGGTAGTGAATGAACTTATAGACAGTGAAACTGCAGGACTAAGTATATCTTGTTTGGGATGTTTCAAAATCTCCACTCTTCCCTCATCTTATCCAAAGGGGTAAGAATCAATGCTATTGTTCGAAATTTTCAGAGGGTATTCTGAACTCTGAGAAAACAAAATCAGGGAAGTTTCTAACAAATGAAGTTGGGTTTATTTTTCGATTTAAAAAATGAAGACATTAAGTAAGCATTGAAAAACTAGTTAACCTAATTCATAACTTTTCTTCTCCATTGGCAGAACACTCTGTAAAAATTTCAAGCTATTAAGTAGGCTTGTTTCCCCTTGAAAAAATAAAATAGAAGAGGACATTTTGAAACATTGCAATGGAGATTCGTAGTTCGGCACTTGGGCCATCGATGCATATTTTATTCATTCACATTAAAATGTCCACGAACGTCGGCTATCTCCCTTTTTTTTGCCACTGGGGCCTTTGCAGTGGTGGTTCAAGAGATTTCGACGGTGCAAGTCGGCAATCACATAACTCGGTTTGCGACGTTGTAGACTTCCTGTCATACTTTATTTTTTAAATGGCAAAACTACTCAACAGCAATTCTTTAAAACTGTCATGATTTTTCTTCTCAATGCGAAGAAAATTCTGCAAAAACTTCAAGAAATAATGTCAATTTGTTCTCCTTTAAGAAAATGACGTAGAGGCGGAGATTTTCAGACACCGTAAACGAGTTATGTGATTGCCGACTTTCACCGTCAATTTTTCCTTTTTATGAGGAGGAGGGACAGCAGATCAACCATCCATGTGTGACATCTTCATATGAGAAAAGGCCTTTCCTTTTCAAAAGTTCCCACCGACCTCTAAAAGGGCGATTCGGCAATACATTAATTGAACCAAGAGATCCGGGGTTATAAGAGCAGCATAGAAAATTATATGCACTTCAGTATGTGCTGCCAAAAAATTAGAGACCAGCTAATCATCCTTCAAAATCGGGGGATTTGGGAGGAGGCATCTTCAAAGATTTACAGTATTTTATGGAGAAACGCACTTAATGCTGATTTTCCACCCATATTCTAGCGTACTCGTATTCTCAAAGTGTTTTTCCACTGAAATAAAGGGACTCAAGTTTTTTAAGGATCCTTAGATTCTAGTTATTGATCATTGGAGGTCAGAGTACAAAGAAGCAGTTTTTATTCGTTTGAGAAAAATGAGTCTGAATTTCTAAATTTCATGGCACCAAATGGTCGAAATGAATTTTGACCATAAATTATGCAAGTTAAAAATGATGCTTTGATGCTCAACTGTAAAAAGTGTCACACTGCGACTAGCTTCATTAGAGCATCCAATACAACTATCTTTAAACCTTTTTTCTCCTTTTGGTTTATTTATTAATTTATTTTTTTTTCAAAATCTGAACTTGCACCTAGCTCTCCAAATATCTCACATTTCAATGAAAACAGATCGAAAATTATTTTCTTCTTCTCGTTTTCTTGTTTCTATCAAATAGTTAAGACCTTTGAAAGTTAGAAGCTTACAGAGGGCAAAAGAAGACTTGCAGTTAAACTAAAAACATCACATACTATAGTTGTACAAAAATGCATTTATTGTTAGGCGTACAAAGAAGAACGTACGATTTTTTATCCTTGTATGTTCAAAACCAATGATCCAAAAATTTCTCATACTATCTGTTTTGGTCGTCTCTTAAAAACTCCCATTTCTAATAATGCTCAGTATTCAAAGTTTTAGATCAATAACAAGGAGCCTTGGTCGCTCTAGTGGTAATAAAAGTTTTGCCTAACTTAAGTCTTTATATTTACCAGTATGTTTATAAATATCAAAAATCTCTCAGAGGTGCACTTGTCTTCCATTCAAAAGCATTTTATCAGGAAGAAAACAGGCATAAAATTTTCATCATCGCATGTGTCTATGTATTGTGTAAGGCTGTACGAATCAATGTTTTTAAAAAAAAACCAAAGGAAGGGGCAAAAGTATTTTTTTGTCTTCTCTCTCGGGTTTTATCTGTTAATATGGGTGATTTCGCGATAAGAGGAATAGTCCTGTCGCCGTGAGTTATGAATGACATAGGGCAAAACGATTGAAAACCAAATGAATAAATCAATAGGAATGATGTCCCTGAGCCTATCCATGCTAAAAAATATGATAAATTATTATTATATTCAATAATATGAGACTTTAAAGGCCGAAAATGTCCGGTCGGTTACGCGTCGCCAACCCCGATTTTGAAACGAATGACCAATTTACGGCAATGATACAGTGCTGATCATGGTTTCTTCGGCAATATTTGTCGAAAGGATACTCCAATGTTCAAGAAAATTGCCCTTTTGAATGAAAATATTTATTTTTAAGTGCGAAAAATCATCAGAAAGAGGTGTCGCCACATTTGGCAACATATTTTAGCAGTTGTATAAAGTGCAGTGTTTATTCCGCCAGATAGAGCCAGGAGTTTCAAAACTGTCATCGAATTGTTCCCTGAAGTCGTCTCAACTAAACCATATCTGGTAAGTCGGCTTTATTTGCAATAAAAACTTTAATTTTGCTGAAAATCAGTGATTTTTAGGTGTGTAGCACTAATTCCTCACTACCCAAAATCATCCATTTAATATCATTAAACTGTCTGGAAGTCCTCAAAGTTTAGAAAAATTGTAAGGCAGCATTAATTCCACCTCATATCTTAAGAATTGCCAAGTTTCATCTTTATCATCAACTTTAATTTGCCATTTTCAAGTGTCGGTTACGCTGCGTCTGTTACGTAACCGACAAAATCTGACAGCAATGGCCGTCCGCCATATTGGAAAGGGTTGCTTGTCGTATTTGTAAACAGTCGGCGAGTCACTTAACTGAAGTGAGCTACATAGTTACCTACAAAGTTGATGTCCAATGTTTTCGGAACAGATAGTATTCTAAAAGATCCGGAACCATCATAAAACAGCACAATTCGTTCCGGGGTCACTTTATACCATTAATTTACCCGTTTGGATTCCTCTATTATTACGAATCACTGGAATTACCTTTTTTGAGCAAAATGGTGGGTAGGAAATTTTAATTGCCATTTTAAATGCCAAAAAGCAGATTAGACAAGAAATTAGCGAGTACAAGGACAGTCTTAAAAATGCTAAAGAAACAATCACTAAATTCAAGAATGAAATTGGTAAGCTTTAAAGTGATAAACCAGCTGAGGCAACTGTAAATAATGAATTATAAAAAATTTCCTGTAAATAAAGTTCCTACATTTATATAAACTCAGCTTCCTTAGGATTCTTTTATGTTAATCTTTTCCCCTTTAACATCATAAAGAACAAGGCCTTATTTAAATTCTCTCTGGTATTACTGCATTGAAGTGAAATTGAGGGGCTTGGAGGTCAAGGCGCATTAGCGCAATTTTTAAAAGTTGAGATATTAACAATTTCAAGTGAAACTGGTCTTGATGCATATTTTGTGAAAAATTCGCTCCCAAATTCCTCTTTTTAAAAATCAAAAAGTCAGTTTGAACTTTCTTTCTGCCTTGAGGATCCATGAAATTTCGAAACTTCTAACAAGTACATTTTGAAATAGCAAAAACTGCACTATTGTGCCTTGTACTCCAAGCCCCTCATTTGTCATCATCAAAAATGAGTTGATCCCAGGTGGTCAATGGAAACCTCTTGAACTACTTTCTTCGAAACGAGGAGAATTATATTTTGTAATGGACCAGTAAACAAGGCAAAAATTGAAGCGTTCTGATACATGGCTTTTAACCAAAACACGTTAAACACAACTTGCACAAAGGGACTTACTGAAATCAACTCCAAATTAAGATAACAACGTTTTTTAGTTTACATTGGTTACAAGAATTTTGAATTCCCT